TTTTTAACAGACTCGCTATATTAGAAATTATTATCTGCATTATATCTATCTTAAGCAGTATTTGAATATTGTCGATTCTGATTTTTTCATAAGTACTAGTGCAAACTCCCGTCGCTTTGCTGACGGTTTACGATAATGTGCTCATTTAACGGATAGTATTACCATTTGATAGACCTGTCAAACAGTCTATTTCAACTATGCTCAAATATAGTTTGTCATGTTTAGTTATTTATAGCACCTACAGTCTTCGCTATTTCCTACAATCATTTACTATTGTATAGTTTGTTTATGGTATATGAAGTATATAATTTACAACATTGTTCTCTGTATGTATTCTCTCTCTAAAATTATAAATACTGATGATTTCTGCCTCAAATTTGTTCAGTTGCATTTGTTAGTGCTGGTATCTACAAACGTTACTTCACGACAGCTTATACGCTGATCTACCAGTAACTACCACACTGTACCTAGTTATTCTTTACAATAAATATCTCTCTTTCTAATAACCCTTCGTATCATTATTGTGAAATGCCTAAGGAGTCCACGTCCGCAGACTTTTCGAAACCTCCATCACATAAAGTACGTACCATGACATAGCAATTCTTGATTTTCGTTAGTTGCTATTTCCAGGGTAAGTATTTCCATACAGATAGTACAATATTGCATGTACGATATTTTTATTTTCTGCTCTAATGTTGAAACATTAAATCAGCTAATGCAATCTGTTAGAATTATCGCTATGGTTAGGCATGTAATTCAATACTTGATTTTGGATTGCGAACATTTCGAAAGAGGCGCAGCATCTATTCGGCAATTCATACCTGTAGTATATAAAGATGGTATGACACTGCACAAACTATCGAACGTTGCAATATTTATTAATTAGGTATCTGCTCAATCAGTGGCATAAGTAACTAGGCATACATATTTCTATTGACATAATATCAAAAATCGATATCATTCTACGTTACATAATCTTAGAAACTGGTATCAGAAATATAAATACGTCTTAATTTACTATTAATAATCATAGCTCAATTAATTTGTAGTTCTCTGCAATCTCTTATTGGCTAATCTCTCAAATCGAATAAAATATCCGTAAAAAAGACAATTAAAAAAATTTCATGAGTAATAAATTCATTTATAATGATTATTATATTCATGGATATACAATAAACAGTTTGTGAATCATAGAGTATTTAATATTGAATCCTTCTCAAGATTTGATTCTTCTTTCAACATCTTGATTAAAAAATTATTCTCCAGTGTGATCATATCCTCGGTTAGCGTATTACTATGTATGGTAAATAGTTCGTAGCATTGTACTGACGATGACATTGACGGAAATCCATACCTAGTTAGGCTCCTGAAAAGGTACATTATGAAAAGTAAATATTATATTATTATTGGTTACATTCGTCTTATCAAAAAATTACATAAATGTATCGCCGCAAACTGTTCCAAGTGGATAAATGTTTCCTATTTTGATGATACGTTCCGGCTCTACTACTGAATTCTACGAAAGTCAGAAGAAAGCTTATTGGCTATTCCAAGTTAATTTCGAGTAAAGTTTGACATTTTAAGATTGTAACCGTTACTAATGAAGTAAGGAAAATACCTGCGAGCGTACTATCGAGAATATTGGAAATAGATTTGTGAATATATATATTTCTTGCTTACCGATTTCCCTTCGAACCACATACGGTATGTACAAAAAAAATCTTCTTTTCTAACAGCTACGTAATTGCATCCACACTTTAAAGCAAAGATACCAAATTGCCTTAATTCTTTTACCTAAGTACAATACAATGAGAAGATCTTTATTATCATCATTGACAAACAACAATTTCCTTTTAAGAGCTAATATATCCCAAGATGTTCATTCTTACAACTGCAAAATTCACATCTCTTGCCGCACATTCCTGAAATTGGATAAATTTACTTAGATTGAAGAAATAACAGTAATGCTGCTGTTTTTTATTCTTATTACTCTACTTACACCAGTATCAATATAAGGTGTAATTATTTTTCCGGTTGTACGATTTAGAAAGACAAAGTGCAAAAGTCTAGGACAAGTGTCATTATAACTGTATAAAATTGTATAAAAATCGTCATGAATTAATCAAGTTTACAAGCATGTATTAATGGTTTAAGAATGCATTATTTACTTACAATCCAATTTCATTATTGTAAGATCCTTTAACCAGGACAAAATCTTTATAATCATCTAGTCTCTGCTTAAGTATGCCATAAATTTTTTCTAGGTTGCCAGGAAGTTCCTCAGAATTAATCTATATGTTAAATAAATTGAATAATAATGTTTAAGCGAGTTCTTGTCAATACAATGCTCCTATTAAAAGTAAAACATTTTAAATTCATATTTATCCTACTAACAGCATTTGCCGGAAAAAGATAACTAAAAATAGCCTTTATCCTGCCTTGTAAGTTATTCAACATCTGTATAGTCCTATAAATAATATATTATGATTGCTAGACGTTTTTCACAGTTATAACTATGAAAAATAATATTAATAAAAATTCATATTGTATAGTTTTTATTGAAACGTAATTATTTGTCATAATACTTTTCAGATGGATTATTTTGCAAGCTACCAGAGCTTATGGGTTCTAAATCCTCTCTCCGCAATTTAGTCCATAATGATATCAACTTATTGACACGATTGTCAAGATTCTAAAATTACAAAGAGAATCAATGTAAATTGTATGCTATGCATCTTATGATGGCGTTAGCTTAAGATACAGCATATTTACCTTCTTTTTAAGTAGACTTGCAAGTGTTCTTTACAGTATCATCAGTTATAGTATTATTTAAAGATAAAATAAAGGTCATACAATTTTACATTATTGCAACATTGCCTTTCAAAAATAATATATACAACGAAAGCAATACTTTACTTTATTTCGCTTTCAAACATGGCTATCTTAGTTCTCATATCTTTCTTAATCACTGCATCTTCTCTCATAATTGCACTCAATTTAGTAGCACAATCACATAGGGATTTTGCTACTTTTTCATTTTCGACCTAAGAAAAGAATTCTATTATCTAATATGGCTATTACTAGATCATATTTTGCCCCAAAACTATACCTTTAAAACAAATACGAAAATCATTCCTGAATATATCTTAATTCCGTGTATTATGAAAGGAATGAACCCAAAGTTTCCAAACGGTAAAAAGATGAGGCGTCGAAAGCAATCCTACAGATTAGTGCAATTATTTAGATATGGCGGTTTATTGAAGTCACGGGTGCATATGTATAGTAAGCCTGTATAAAGTGCTAGTTCGCTACAAGTAACATGGACAGAAGGACTTTGTGTACTTACGATCTTGTGTTCTTCAGTACCAGAGTCTAAACACAGTTATGAAAAACATAGATAAGTTATCTGAAAATATGAGTGATGCCTAACTTTTAGCTATTAAGAATAAGAATAACTATGAACTAAAATCACATATTTGCATCGTGTAGGCTTACCTCTTACTACAGATTGACTGACATCAGTTAGTAAGAAATAAGATAAACCTATAATTAATAGGAGATCGCCACACTCTAATTCCAGAGCATTCTCACTATTATAAATTTATCGATAATTATAATCTAGGCTTAGTAAAAGTTTTAAAGATGGACACATCAGCTACAGAGAAAATTATTAACGAATTTTAATGCTTGGTATCGAAATACGGTATTCACCTAGAATAGGTTGAAATTATTTTATGGTTCTGTAAAAGCATGGCGTGTTGAATTTTTTCTCCGCTAGATCTAATGTTAATTGCGTTATATCGGGTTATTGACATTAAAGGAATAGCGAAGCCATTTGCTCTAACTTAGAGCTTGGAAAGTAAGTGCTAAACAATTTTGCGTACTTTACATGACAGTTTCTAGCTTCTTTAATTGCTGAAATACAAATTTGACTCAAGGAAGAATCCAATCTCACTCGTTCAATCGCCTATGCAATTACATTATAATTTCACAAGTAGAAATAACAAATATATAGTTGGTAGTGCTTTGACTTTAATCCTAGGCACCTCAAATAGATAACGATATTGCACCGTCATACCTCAAACAAGAAAGCCTGTTCATTATTACAAAGATGAAACCAAAATTTGATTAAACTATCGAAGTACTGCCATTGATTCTGCCGTTCGTTACCTTGTAGGGTAGCAAACCTACAGCAAAAATTCCATGATTAGTTATAACTCTTCGAATACACCGAAAAATGTCTATTTGACTACAGGTGTAGGTATTAGATTAAGGGAGATAGGAGTCTAATAAAGGTGGAATTGATTAATATTGCCTGCTCAACACTATCGTACGGATACAATGTAAATTGGCAGTTGGATCGTTCTTCGAGATGGCTACACAATGACACTATGACACAGTAAGAATTCTTGCAATTTTCTTACTCGACGCGACGTAACAATTACAGTTAATTATGATAGAAGCTTCAAACAATATTTACTTCGATAGGCTTAGCCCGTAATGCAGCCTTATCAACTGATGGCAGATGCGGATTTTGCGCAGAATTGTGTCTTCTTGAACAGTTTCATCACCGTCAATACCAACGTAAAACCAAGCATCAAGCTATCATATACAAAATTGAATTCATCAATTTCTTTCTATTTTTCATGGCAATTCGAAAGCAACAGTAGTTATAGCAACAGAATTATATGATTAGAGTCCGCTAAATAACCTTATACATTTACATATTTTACATATGCTATCTATATTTATAAAATGAGAATAAGCCATCAGTAACTTCATACCTTCTGGTAGACTATGGTAACACCGTCATCTGTCTTGCTATATTGTAAGGGATTATTCAAGCCAAAACTTAGACAATCCTAGTATAAGATATTTACAAGACCATTAATTTGACGTTATTACAATTATGAATATAATCTAATCTGTAGTTATTATTAGCGCAGTTGACAGAGCATTCACCAAATAAGTATTTATTCTTACGATGAATAGGTTTCGTTATTACATTAATTGCTATGTTTAAGTTGACTACTTACGAACGTCAGTTTTTGTGGTTGTAGCCAATTTAGTAACGCGTAGTCTCTTAAGTCAGCTTCAATATCTCCATTGACCGTGCTAAAATTGACAGACCATAATGACAACATATGATATGAGTCAAATTTGTTGATTAATTGCGTATCTAAGATTTACATTAACGAATAGTCAGAAGAAGAATTATTTTATAAATCTATCAAAAATGAAATAATGGATCTAAAACTGAACAATTCGATCATTTCTATGATATTGGATAAACTTCAAGAGTGATAAAATGAAAGGTTTCAATTTTATCAGCAGGATGTAGGAAATATAAGGCATATTCAGTTTTTAGTACAGGTTGATATACTGTAGTTAGTTTCTTTTACAAACTCACTCAAAAATTTTTATATAGTAAGATATTTTGACAACGTACTTTACTGTACTGTATTAAAATAATCTACACTTATCAATATGACATTTCATATTTTAGAAGATTAAAGTTATTACTCGATGTAAACAATAATTGACTAGCTACTTTAGCGAATGTCTTTCGTAACATTGATAAGCTAACTTGGCTTGCCAAATCTGACAAGTCAATGAATGAAGTTATTCACTCATAGAGGTACATAGTAGTTAGTCAATTGGGAACGAATGACGACTGGATTGATCAGATTTGTATAGAGGATAAGTAGGGCATCCATGATTCAAAGCAATTAAAAGTTAATTTTATGATTAACTGTATCGCTTTCGAGCAGTAATGAACATCAATGTTTATTTTTCGGGGATTAACATAAAGTACTTTTATTTGTTTATAATTTATTTGCTAGCTAGAACCATATTGTTCAATACTGTTCTATCAATAAATAATAAATCACTGTAGATAAAGTATGGGTAACTCTATGTTTCATTTAATAATTGAAGAGATTTATCAATGTAGTGGACAAGTGTACATGTAGACAATTTTAAAATGTACAGTACCATTCATACAGTGAGATGAAATTAACTTACTTGTGTAACCCTTTCTCTATAGTTTTTTCCTTTAATCTATCCGTTAACTCAGTATCAGCTGACCAGAAAATAATTTCCGATGCATCACTCATAATAATGATACCCTTCATAGTGATGAATTATAATTGTTGCGTTGAATATCACTTCTCAAATGATACTATTCACGAGTAAAGTAGCCGAAGGATGGAAGAATTATACCAAGATAATTAATTCAATAATTTATTATCATCGACCTAGAATACAAATGGAGAGCAAGATTAAAATCGATCCGTGGTACCCATTAGATATAAAAAAGATTCATTTTCACCGTCTATTTCTGACTATTTGGTGTAGAATATATAGACATTAATTTAGCCTAAGATAAGCTTTCAAAATTGAACCATCACTCTCCCATATTACTGTACAATGTGATTTCAGCAATACAAGTCGATTGCCGGCCTAGCTATCCCTGATATACCATGACTACGTCATCTATAGGCTAGGTTAAATAGCTAGGAAATGATCACTATTCTAATTCTAAGTCAATTGATCACTACCTACTTGTTATAGCTTCTTGAATGGATAAAATATTAATGTTGATGATGGCATGACCATCTATCAGTTGAGTAGATGTTGTCAAAGATAGTTTTCGTTTTGCGGTTGGCAAGTGAATAGTTTCGATTTTCGAATTCAATTTTAGAAACTTTACGGTCTAATCTGACTGTAATTAGACTTAAAGGACGCCAAAAATCATGATATTAATGATTATCAATCCAAAATTGATTAGTCACCTATTTAAAAATGATTTCTAGCCGATTCTTTTGCTATCATCAGCTTTGAGGATCAAAATTTCGATGGCGATCGAGGATCTTCTTCGACAGTGTTTACCCTTTAATAGCTGTTCGAATACAGTGTACAGTATGTACTGAAGTGTGCTGTACTGTACCGTCATAAGGATTATTACAGTACGTACAGTACTACTGTAGCAACACTGTACTCTGCACTCTGTACTTTTACCTTCATAGGTAAAATTTTAACTGCTGTTCGCAATAATCTTTACACCTGCAAGCTCAGTACTGAATGAGTTACTCTACTGAACGTAGAGGACCGGCTATCAAGCCATGACGTCATAGCATCGCCAAATAGATCCTGCTCAGATATCAACATAAACAAATGCGTTTCTACATAACTTATAAATCAGGATCAGGTGCTTTACTCCTGCCTGCGATGGAGCTTTCTTATTAAAACAGTAAATGATCGAGTTCAGCATTAACGAATGCGTTGCTGCATAGAGAGCTTACAAATTAGATCAGCTGTTTACTGCCTACTATGGACTCTTATTAACCTATCTTATTAACTTATAAATCAGGATTAGGTGCTTTACTCCTGCCGGCGATGGAGCTTTCTTATTAAAAACAGTAAAATGATCGAGTTCAGCATTAACGAATTCGTTGCTGCATAGAGAGCTTACGAATGAGATCAGCTGTTTACTACCTACTACGGACTCTTATTAACCTATCTTATTAACTTATAAATCAGGATCAGGTGTTTTACTACTATCTGCTATGGAGCTTCCTTATTAAAACAGTAAAACGATCGAGTTCAGCACTAACGAATGCGTTGCTGCATGGAGAGCTTACAAATGAGATCAGGTGGTTGACTGCCTAGAACGGATTCTTATTAACCTATCTTAATAACTTATAAATCAGGATCAGGTGTTTTACTACTGTCTGCTATGGAACTTTCTTATTAAAACAGTAAAACGATCGAGTTCAGCATTAACAAATGCCTTGCTGCGAAGAGAGCTCACAAATTAGGTCAGCTGTTTACTACCTACTATGGACTCTTATTAACCTATTTTATTAACTTATAAATCAGGATCAGGTGTTTTACTACTGTCTGCTATGGAACTTTCTTATTAAAACAGTAAAATGATCGAGTTCAGTATTAACAAATGCGTTGCTGCATACAGAGCTTACAAAATAGATCAGCTGTTTACTACCTACTATGGACTCTTTTTAACCTATTTTATTAACTTACAAATCTGGATCAGGTGTTTTACTACTGTCGACTATGGAGCCTTCTGACTAAAGCAGTTAAACGATCGAATTCAGTACAGTATTAACAAATACATTGCTGCATATGAGAGAGCTTACAAATGAGATCAGGTGGTTTACTGCCTAATATAGACACTTATATATAAACAGTATAATGACAGTAGCGCATGACAATCAGGCGTTTTCTAATGCGTTTAACATTACAAGATAAATGCGCTACTGCATAGTAGAGCGTTTAAATTGGGGATCAGGTGTTCTACTGCCATCAGTGCCATGCATGGAGCCTTATTTACAGTAGTAAAACATGGTAATCAAATATTTTCGAATTCATTTGATATTGGTAGAAGACGAGTATAAAAAAATGCGTTGCTTCATATTAGAGGGATCAGGTAGTTTACTGTCTACCATGCAGCCTTATTAACACAGTAAAACGATCGAGTTCAGCATAAACAAATGCGTTACTACATTGAGAGCTTATAAATTAGAGATCAGGTATTTTACTGTCCAGTATAGAGCCTTATTAATACGCTAGTAAGGCATAGTAATTTGATGTTTCTAACTCGTTTAAAGAATAGTAGACGACGAGTATAAACAAATACGTTACTTCGTCGTAACGCTTGTAAATTAGCGACTAGGTGTTTTACTGCCTAGTATGGAGCCTTATTAATACAGCAGTAGAACACAGTAACTAAGTGTTTTCTAATTCGTTTAACATTAGTAGGACACGAATATAAACGAGTGCGTTGCTGTGTAGTAGAGCTTATAAATTAGGAATTAGGTGTTTTACTACCTAGTATGGAAACTAATTTTACGGCACTAGGGCACAGTAATCAGCTCTTTCTAATTCGTTCGAGATTACTGTATAGAAGATAAGTTATGACTGATGATTTCCGCCACGACCCTAAATAAGATTGAATTCTGGATGAGCTTCTTACCCTATCGCGCTTTCCTCTATACTACTTTGACTGGATGTTGAAGTAAACCTGATTAGCAGCAGTATCTATTTTGCGCTAGTGTGTTTACTGTTATTCAAAAAGTTGATCAAATCATCCTGGAGTTGGCTATGAACGTTTCGAATAATCCACCGGAATGCGGGTAAACTTAGGTTTCTCAGTCAAAATAAATTGTTCTTCTTGATCGAGGCTAACTAGTTAGTAGTAACTTAGCACATCGTACTGTAGTACTAATTTCATTATCCAGCCCTTTACTCACTTGGATTATGCTTATTTTGTACTCTTGTACGTACTCTGGAGACCATATTGGTTATTCGTTCCTAATGACAACCCGATTGCTCAGTCTACGTTCAATACAAGCGGTTACCAGTATAGAAATATTACTTTTATAATTAAACAAATCCCTCATGGCATGTAATATTGAGCTTTATTTATTAAATAGAATCAACCTGTCAAATGTGTCTCATAGTTAGATGATATCACTACTATAATGAAAGTACATAGCATCGGGCTTGGTATGTTGTATTTTACTCTATATCGCATGCCAGTAAGCTAACATAAAAGCCTTCAACTTAAAGTGCCCGTTACTACTCTTGCCAATAGTAAAATTATCAGCATACCTACGTAAGCTCAGTTACTCGACAGACTAGTGTTATCTTGTATTCCGATAAATGTATAATGTAGATCATTAGAATAAATTTGTTGAGCGTTCGCATCTATAAAGTAAAACGTAGAAATGAATTTCAAGCAGAGACTATAAAAACAAGGTTTGCATTGACTGGCAAAGTTTTTATTATTGAAACTTATTTCTTACATATGATGCGCTCATAAAGCACGTAGAAATGTATTTCCATAGCTAGTTTTAAAGCGTACTGGAGCCTTTCATGCTTCCTATCTGTCAACTACCTAATTAAATAAACTATAGGATAGTATGTACATGGATTTCCAGGAATATACTACAGAGGTATACTTCTAGAAGTCCATGGTATGAATACGGTAGGATCGAACCGGCTGCATAACAATTGTGGTCAATTAACCTAAATTTGATGTCATACTGAAATATGCCAATCAATCATTTAAAGTGATAGTGTCTGACATGCATTATCATATGATAGAAAATACCATTGATCGTATTTCCTATAATATTCATTCAAGTTAATATTCCATGGCTACATATTTTGCGATCGTATTTAGCTGAATATTGGATGAACCTTCATAAATGACACCTAAAACAGGCCAGGAGAATTATTCATATTATGACAAGACTTTAAATATCTGATGAATGAATGCTCAATCTACTTTGAATATGCCTATCTTGACTATCTGAGATTGTAAAGTCGTACTGCTTTGCAGTATCTGCGCATACATGTACTATAATATTTGGTGTACTTACCGATTTTTGCATCTCTGTAAAACTTCTCAACAGGGAAATCCTTTGTAAATCCTACACCGCCAAGCCATTCTAAAGCTTTTGATGATACCTTTTGAGCCATCTTGATAATAAACAAAATTATAAAGTTATAAGTTTGCACTCAAACAATGACAATGAGTCTGATATAATTTCTCTTTGTAAATCCTTAAACCTCGGAAGCAAAATATTTAGCCATAGCACCCTCCTTGACTACAGGTTTGCCAGCTACTTTCAATCTAGCTGCGTCATAAGTTATTGCTCGAGCTGCTGCAACCATAGTAGACATTTCTGCAATTTGATGTTGTACACCCTACATAGATAAAACACGTGTAAGCACATTAGTGCAAGGTTTGCACATTTATATGGAATATATTTTCAATACAATGATAGCAATTTCAAGTGCTAACCTGGAAATCAAAAATTCGTTGGTTAAATTGCTTTCTTTCCATTGTATAGGGTATAGCGGCATCTAGGGCTCCTTGAGCTAAACCAACCATCTAATAAATCAACAGAATTTGATGTAATTAAATTGCATCACTATCTTCGCACATTTAAAATCGAAACAATATTTGACGTGTCTACTATTTATATTTACTTGGGAAGCAATGCTAATTCTGCCTTCATTTAATATTCCAATGGCAATTTTATATCCTTCGCCAAATTTTCCCATAATATTACTTTCTGGAACCTATTACATACGTGCAGGCACAAAAATTTATAAATATTATTACCTATAAATTAAAATTGTTTTAGACATAATATTGAGGCGCATTGGAAATAAACGTGATCCAGCATCCTACCCTAACATTCTCCAGTATTACGGGACAAGTCGATGAAGCCCTTATTCCAAGCTATTTTAATAGAAGCAGTCAAAGTTAAAAAGTGTTACGCTTGGGCACTACTTGATATGCAAGGCTATCACGGTTATAGATAATAATGGAAGGAAAGGAAATACTCAACCTTATCTTCTTTCTTTCCAAGTGAAAGGCCGGGCATGTTTCGTTCGACGATGAAGCAAGTTATGCCTTTATAGCCCTGTGACAAGATAAAATTAGGGAATAGATATCAGTTGTTATTGTAGAAGTAAAGTATTAATACTTTAAAACTTATACCTTTTCTGGAGAGGCGTTAGCAAATACTAAGAATATGTCCGCATGTTCGGAATTACTAATCCATGCTTTGGTTCCGTTTAGAACGAAATGATCGCCATCAGCAACAGCCCTAGTTTGCAATGCAAAGGCATCGCTACCGCTTCCAAACTCTGATAGACAAAAGCAGCCTACCTAACATACCGAACAGTAAGAGCGTGGTGTATAACAGTTATCTCGGATATCATTCCTGTGGTAGTACTTATGGGTGTTTAAAATAGTAGCATGTAATCTTTTAGTCCTATAATTAAGAAATAGGCCATGTATGCTACTTACTGATTTGGTGGCTAACTGTGATAAATATTTTTCATTCTGCTCCTTGTTTCCGTATTGCATAAATATTGTTTCTACAAGTGTATTTTGAACGTCTACCATTACAGCAACAGCGGGATCAACTCTAGCGATTTCCTCAATCGCCAAGCAGCTACCGAAGAAGGATGATCCAGTCCCTCCATATTCACTACTTACTTCAACACCCATAAACTAATTTGAAATATCAGTGATAAAGTATCAAATGTAATTTATAACTAGTTTAATAAACAAAAAAGTATCATTTCATATATATATATATATGGGCTACCAGGCGATTACTGCAAAATAAAGTGTTATTTCATTACGCCTTATTTCATTAGTGATTTGTTCAATTTTTTGGTCTATAATTATCGTTGTAAAGTATGTAAGCGTATCCTATTCAACTCAAGCGCATCAAAATAAATAGTTGATTTGATTAAAAATAATAGTTTTATCTCTTGTTCAATACCCCTTGATCAAATAAGCCCTTGATGATGTCTTTATCCAGGTGTGAATTTCGGTCCATTTCTGCTACTCTTGGAGCAATTTTTTCTCGAGAAAACCGTTGCACTATGTAAAATGGGAGGAAAATGATAGTCAAAAATTATTACTATGCCATAAGATAGGAATTGAAAGTTTTAGTATAGTATCCTAATTGAGAAAAATTTACAGTTAAATGCAAGCAATAGAGCAAGAAATAGAATTATACATACTTCATTCTATGAATAATAATTATTTCATGACTGTGAGGTTGGTAATAATACTATATCTTTGATTGAGCTTCCATGATTCAATCATTCTCCTATATTATTAATATACTGCATTGTCACTTGCTGTCGAACCATAGTAGAAGATTCTATGTACAGTAGATGGATCACTCCATCACTCTATGTATGTCCATCAATCTAGGCATGTTTAACGTTAGCGAGATTAACTAACTTCAATAGCTTGATGTTAATATAGGGGATCCTATATTAGTAGAGATATCTTATCTATTACAATGATTATAATAGTGTTGTCGGCTAAAAGTATATAACAATGTCATCAGTGGTTATCTATGCCGTATTTGGAAGATAGACGATAATATAAAGCACTACGGTGTTAGTAGAAGCTCCTACTGTATTAATTAGGAAGTTATAGTAACTTTTAAGATGGCGGATGATGTTTGCAAGTTGTATATAAAGCGAGGTCTTTCTGCTATAACAGCTAATAAATCTCAAGGCCAAACATTAGATATGGTTGGACTGTATCTTAATAGATCAATGTTTACTCATGGTCAATTATATGTAGCACTTAGTCGCTCACGCAGTGCCATTAATATCAAAATTCTAGCCAAAACGCACATTTATCCGATGGTAACATGCAATTTACTGATAATATAGTATATCCTGAAATGCTGTAAATAAATGCACTTATTAACACAGTATTATCCTTTGCTTATAATGTCTACATAGTTGAATTGAGATGATTTTATTGTAAATTGTCAACACAACGAAATTCTATCCATTGTCAATGCAAATTTGAATTAAAGCAGATTATTTTCATGATACCTTTAGTTTTGCGCATGATTTAAATCATTTAACAGTACTATATACAGCATAATACATGCAAATTATAACGTAAAAAATCCAAGAATAGTAGCTGTTTAATACAACATTGCCATATTTTATTATACTTCCTTCCCTCCGTTCACATGAACGGGTATTTTTTACTAGTAAATTGTAATAAAGCTATTACTGTCCACTGGCGTTTTCTTTGGATTTGAATTTTATTACATTTTGTGCTGTCAATTTATAGTAGAAGATTTTATGCACGAGTACAGTAGATGAATGACTCCATCACTCTAATGTATGCCAGTCAATCTAGGCATGACAACAAAGTAAGGCCTACCCTTCCATGCTTGGCTACATATCACCACAACAACGGGTTTATTTCACATGATTTCCATAGCGAATGAAATGTATAAAGTACAGTCAGATAGGACAGCGTAGGGCATTCTACATTCCCTTACCAGCATCTTTTAACATTTCCTCTTCTTCGCTGAGTTGGGTGGAAGCTGCACGAGCAGCCAAATTGCGACTCGATTGCATTCGACATATTGCCAACTTCCTGACTGATGAGACATCAGCAGATAACAATCGACCAGCTCGTGAGAATTTAGCAAGCATCCTTTAGTAGTGGATAGTTCAAAGAAGAAAGTGGCAATTCCAATATCTTGACGATTTGGGTAGAACGTCAGCTATTAATACTAGCTCGCTGTTGGCAGAATTGGATTGGACAAGCTCTTTCCGATTTCCCTTCGATACAATATTATGTACTACTATACTGTACAGTGTACTTGTTCCCCCATGACCCCTCCGTATGGCATGTTACGCCATACTAGTACTACGGTCACGAGTGGTGCACACCATGACCAGGTCAAGCGTTGCGCTATGCTAAAATCATATAGCAAACAGTCTTATTATCCAGTCAGTACGGTGCAGTAGAGTACCATGAGTGCAAAATGCCTTTCACCGGGTTCAAAGGGCAATCAGCCCGATAGTTTTGACTATTCACCATAGGGATTTTTTCCTCTATGTTTTGACCGGTTTTGACAGTGGGTTGGGCCGAGGGTGGACTGGCCGTGTCCATTATTTACAGTACTGTAATGCTATTATGTACAGTACACTGTACACTGTACACTGTACAAGTAGTAAAATTGACGAACTTCACCTTACTGACTGTGAGACTGTAGTCAAGCCCAGCCATATCAACATCTTAGAATACAAAATACTCAGCGTAAGTTGCTGAAACCATGATGCATCACTTTAAGTTGAAGAATGGTATCCAATTTGAATTATAGCCTGGAACTAAGAGCGATGCATCGTCGTTTAAGCGACTTACACTAATTATAATTACTTAAGATATCGATGTTGATATAGCTGGGCCAGAAACAGTGCAACGGTAACTTCTTGTACAGCACAGTGTACAGTGCACAGTACAGGATACATTACAGTATACTGTACTGTAATCATCAAAGATCCAATTGCTATTCAATGTTGATTTGCACAGTATGAGTAGCGAGGTGCTTCTTCTGCATCATTGAGTTGCAAGACGGGAACGGACAGAAACCGGACCTGCTCAGGTGAACAGTGCAAGTAGTGAGGTGCTTCTTCTGCATGCTATAGTACTTTTACTCTAGATCTAAAGGTACTGACATAGTATGACTGGCTAGGTGCTTCCTTCGCACCCTATAGCACTTCTACAGTATGAGTATCGAATTAGTCAATAGCTTAAGGTGAAAAATCTCTCCTGTTCAATATTCCTATAAACAGTATCAGCAACGAAGTGCCTCTTCCGCATGCATACTGCTGTACTTGTAGGAGCCGGGTGCACCAATGCCGTCGTCCGGGATACAAAACGTCCTTCTGTCACAACTAGTCAATTATATATATATATAATTATCCAAGCTTGCAGTCAATTAAATCTACTCATCAATCATGTTTCAAGACGAATCGCTTGATGTTGTTTCATTCGAATCAAATTGGCAACAACAACGGTAAAAACAAGCCTTTAATCAGTAATGTAGCATGGATAAATTAATCTGTGAATGATATGAAATTTCCCTTAAGTTCGACCTTAGTATAGCAAAAATGAGTTCTTCTCTACTTAGCCTACTCGACGTATTACAAGCGTCGTTAGTTGCTATGATACGCAATAGTAGTTCGAAAGTTCTCTCGTATACTTCTTCATATTGAGGATGAATATGGAGTATTTGAAGTATTATATTATTTACGCTGCTGTCTTACTTTTATAATTTTGTATAAGTCAACGGGTGCTTATTTAAAATGATCTTACTTCTCTGATTACAATTATTTATTCTATTTTTTAAACTATAAGAATTGTTGCTATGATACTTACGGATAAGATTCTTCTTCTTTGCATTTCTTCATATTTTGTATAAACATCGAGATTGATGAATCTTTGTTATAAGGTCTATGTTCAGAAGGGGATGATCAAGCATCGTTTGATAAAATGAGTTATCGCGTGAAACAGTTTACTTCGTCATACTGTGATGTAGGATTATGCTATACGCGCGTATAATCATTGAATTTATAAATAAAAGAGTGAAAATAATAGTGTAATAATTAATTTTTATGATTAAGTATCGAAAGAATTCTCTCATTCGTTACTTCTGACAGCGTTATCATGAAAATAGATTTCTTTAAATTATCGTAATCGTAAATACCCCTAAAACATGATTTGGTATAGATATTTCGAGTCAATATTCTCGATATTTTCATCACTGTTTTTAGTGCAGTCAAATTTGTAAGTATTATAACAGTAGCACTATGTATTAGATTGTAAAGTACGTATATTGCAAGTAATATTTGATATTCACAGTTGTTGCTTCTTTGTACTTGCACAGGTCTGTCAAAGACAGCCAGACTCAAACCAGCGAAATTATTAACTACGATGCCGAAGTGCAAGTGGTCACTTATAGCAATGCCCAGGTAGATATTTAGAACTGCTTGATATGTGTTTAGTTAAAATAATACCTAGAAATGAATAGTCTTAATGTTCCACTTCGAAATCCTAGAATATCTCGGTCTTACTGACTATATTTCATATTTATCTCCATACTGAGTCTGAAATATCGACGCTGTTTTAATCTACTTTATAATATTCAGATCAAACGCGACTATGTAATATTGTCGTATGAAATAGACGCAGTAGTTATAGATGCGTAGTCCTTGAGAAACAATGTTGATAATAGCAAATTATATTAATCTAAGGTGTAACATCCTTGATCTAATATCGCTTATATTAAAACGCAAGGGTAATATATTCTTGTATAAATTTCAAGGTTCAGGCAGAAGAGGAAGAAACGCAATTTCAACTTATCGCGGATCAATCTGAAGTTGTCTCATCTCATATACTTGTTGATCAACATGTTATATCTCAACTGAATGATAATATAGCTTATTATATTAACTGTAATTATATATTTACTAATTTATTTAGAATCTGATGCAATTCCTGCGTTATGCAACTCCTCTTATTTGCGAGGAACTCGATAAGAATAGCAAAAGTCATGCCTTTGATGGTACTCTCTCATTAATCAGACTTATCACATTCACGTAACACTAACAGATAAGCTATTAAATTTTCTTAAAGTAAATTTTATGCAATTGTCATCGTATCTAATAGGCTACGATGTTAACTGGGAAGAAAAAGCGGAAGCCATCGAATGTCTTCATACATTAAGTTATGCAGAAGTAAATGATAAGGTAAAAGTTGCAGCTTTTAACCTCCTTTGTTACATTACTCTATTTACTATTTAGTATTCATATATGTTTATCTTTATGCTTATTTAACAGCTACAATGTACAGATCTATCATGGAATGCAATAGGATCAGTTATTGCTGTTGCGTATCCAATCAGAAGATAAATATCAACACTTAATTCTTTCTTTTATTGCTTAAATTGCCTTTATTATAACAGTGTTTCTCGTAAATTAGTTGATTAAGATAATTTTGTTAGCTATTCTACTTAAAATCGTATCGTAGCTACGGGAAACTGGACCATCAAGATTGGTGTACCGATAAGGTAATTAAAGTATTTCAGATAGCGTGATTTGATGCTTTACTCATCAATGTATTTTAAAAAATTTCATTCGCGTATCTACCGATTTACCAACGATACTTGCATAAATTCAATACTAGTCCGTCCTTTGTACCTGGAATATTGATCGACACAATATAATTTCAAGCAAGCCTGATACTGTTATTGAAGTCTCAGTAAGTTACATTGAATTGAAATACTACAATAACTAACTGAAAGTATTCTTGCCCTTCTATTACAAATTTTATAATGTTAACACCATATCACTTTAACTATTCCTCTTAATTAATAGTGTTGTTTGACATCAATCGATTTTCATCCTGAAAGAATCTCTATGATAGCCGGAGGCGTATTTAACGGTAACTTCTATGATTGTTATATCTACTTATTTATCTGAAGGATTATTGTAAGTATCTCTTTTTTTGGTAGGAGAGGTGCAAGTCTGGGATATCAGTCGTGAAGATGAAATGTTGATAGCAAGATCGGGAATTAGTGATGATTCTCATCAAGAGCCTGTGACAAGTGTAATATAGATATATCGTTTAGTCAAGCATGATGTACTGATAAATAAATAAGTTCAGAAATTAGCTCATTCATTAAATTCTGAGTAATTTGTATTTTTCATATCAATCAGATAAAATGGATCAATGATCCTAACATTAAGAGCAAAGCCTTGCAGGTAAATGATTTAGTGTGATCTTTGTCTAAATTTAATAAAATAGTAATCATTCATTCAATATTCTTCTCATGTATAGTTAATGAGTTCTGCAACGGATGGAAAAATATTTGTATGGCAAATTAATATGCAAAATCAGGATTTTAAGCTAACGAAAGGGTTAATTTTACAATGCATACTTTATTTGCTTTCAATGCACTCTTTTGTGCTTCATAATTTCGAATATTCAAAATAACTATGACTAAATATTAAATATGTTTATATAGTTTTGTGGTCGTGACTGATAATATTCCGAAGAGTTTACGAATTAGCAAAGCCAAAGATAATGCTGAAATTGGCGGTATAATAATTAAGCTATTCAGCTTATCGGATCATTAGATTTAAATACTCTCATATAATGCACTTCTTTTACCTAAATCAAGCCGATCTGAAATTGAGTTTTTTATTTCAGTTACTGGGTTTTCATTTTCCAATGAAGACAAATCATTATTTGTCATTGGCTGTGAAAGCGGAAATGTTTTCAAATGTTCATTAAATTCTGAGAGAAATGCAGTAACTGGACTCAATAGTATTCCACTATTTTCACCAGTAACCTTCGCATTTCACTATCATGACGGCCCAGTTTATTCGATTGAATGTTCTCCTTATCATAGAAACTTATTTCTTACTTGTGGAATGGATACTAGTGCCCATCTGTATACAATATTACAGTCTAAACCAATATTATCATTTGAACCTGGCAATGGATTCATGTTTAACATTAAATGGTCGCCAGTACGCCCCATGGTCTTCGCTACAAGTACAGCGGAAGGGTCATTACTCATTTACGATTTAGAGGTATTGCATAGAATGATTTGCAGGTTGTATTATTAAAATCTTTAATAATATAATAGGAAATATCTTTCGTAGATTAGCAAGATCAATCCCGTAATAAACCTTGCCGTAAATGATAACAAGAGTCCAGTCTATTCATTACAATTTAATAAGCAAAGGTATTCAATTCATGATTTATTGATCTCATAAGTTCGTAATTTATTTCGGTGAAAGGAATTTATGTTAAAGCTAACAAATTTTCTTTCATTAGGCGACAATTACTTGCAACTGGTGATGGAAACGGAAAAATTCAAATCTGGCGTTTAAATGATGAACTGACTAATCAAAAGACAAGAGAAACTCATCATTTAGCTGAACTAGCAGAAGTTGCTTTAGAATAAGATCGGATCGGCTACTCCTAAGAAAAAAATCTGTATAATATTAGCTTGGGAGATTTCTATCCATATACGATGCATTAGCTTTTAATATAAATTTCTAACTTCTTTTCACAAGTAACATAAAAATATTACTGTATAATACATGTATTTACAACGACAATTGATGAAATACTTAGATCACACTAGGAATATTCTTTCATTAAGGTTAACTCATCATACAGTCATCCAATCAAAAGCACTTTATATATATCAATACACTATGATTCTTACTTTTAATTTACAGGTTTGGGTTAGTACAATCCAGTTTTAAGTGTATTTATAAATTATTACTTTTACACTATACACAATACTATATACGGTAACATTACGGAGGGTAACGTTTTCGGTGAATCTTTGTACAAAGGAATACGTTTAAAAAGGATCACAACTTCTATATACTGTGGTATACTGAATAAAAGTGGTTGCAATCTTGCCATTGTCATCAAATGATCAAGTATCTGGCCTTCGCGATCAGCTTAATCAATTGGCTTATCGTCAACCTACAATATGATAATAAATATGCAAACACAATGCAATAAAGTAAGATTTCTACCGTGCCAAAAAGATACGAAATTGACATTATTCAGCGCTAGAGGATAATTATACAAATATGTGCGTAGTTCTATCGAGTGTTGCACTAATGAATTTCGTGACACTTATACTACTTTCATTGCTTGGAAATTGATTAAGGAGCACAGAATGCGTGCAAAATATTAGAGACTACTACTACAGCATTCATTAGACCGGCACATAAGTAATTATTAGAAGCATATGCGTAAATAAACATTAGCACTAAAATATTTTCCTTACCCCATTGTAACCATTTCTGAAGATTTTCAGTATTAGAAATATTGTCATCATTAAGTTCTTGCATGATTCAATGACAGCTGATCCTCCCTTAGACTACAGTAGTCATAGAGTAGATAAGGTCATCATTTTATAGAGATCTAAACATCAACAAATCATGATAAGATACTATGCTGCGTGGTACTAACCGCCAATAGAAAGAGTTGATCTTCATGATTTTCTCGGGTATCATTCGATACTTTTTTAAGTTGTTGACAGTAAAGTGTTACTTTATGAACTAGGTTGACCAAATCTGAGTGTGTCCTTTTACTAGTGTTCTAAGGAGAGTCAAAAATTTATTTAGATATATAACTACAACTAATAATTCCATATAGTAGTAGGATTAATACTCTCAAACGTCTATCTTAAGCTAATTCTTACCGTTTCAGATATCTTTAATACAAATCTATTAAATTGTGATCCGACTTCTTCAACTCGCTATGCTCAAAAATCAAGTGACGAAATATATGTCCATTAACTTTTGTAAAATTTCTATTTCTAACACAGCTTATATTTAAATTAGGTAACAATTAGTATTTAAAATGTAAGTAATCGAGAAACACCTGAGAAGCAAATGTAAGATCTGAAACACTTTTCAACGGACCCACTCCCCTGTAAATGAAAAGTTTTTTAGAATCAAAATTGAACAGAAGATTAGATAATAACATTAAGAACAAAGTGGTAAAACTTATTTATATCAATGACCTTGCCAATTCCGATATATCTAAAAGTAGTAAACAAAGTCTCATAGTAAATTTTATAGCTTGATGGTTTGAATGTGTCCACTGTGAAATTTCTTTTTGCAGTCGAATTTCTTCTCTTTTAAACTCTCTACTTAAATTCTCAATTCTCGATCTTGACTCTATCGGCAATGATCGATATGCAGCCTGAAATAGTATATCTCCGTTAGAGATTATTTTTAAACTTTGAAATATAGTATCAAAATCTTATAGGATACTTTATACGTACCCTAGTAGTGGGAATCTTCTTACGAATATTAACCATTTCGCCATTATTTTCAATTGCTAAATTAAAATATATGATTTACGCATACTGAGTAACCCGGGCAAGTTAACGTAATTCGCAAAGTTTAATACATACAAAGTGGTAGTGATACGAATGGATCATCAGAATCTATTTCTTCATCAATTGACTCATAATCATTTGGTTGCTATTAACAATATATAAGAATGGATTAAAATAGTTCAATCATCGTAATTACGTTACGCTAACGTAGAAGTCCATTTCCCACCCGATTAAGTAATACATATCTTCGGAGCAACAGGACAGCTTCATATATCTAATATAATTGTATCAGTTATTTTAATTGATGCTACTAAAGAATTAGGGCTAGCTTTCAAGTTGTAGATAGGACTTAATTGTATATGAAACACAACCTTGTTACATAATTCTAGTAGCAGATTTTCATCCGGTTTTTCTACGGTTGGGTCTTCCATACTTTTACTCATCTTATCCATGTAGCTACCAAATATATCGGCTAATTAAATTGTTAGAAGTAAGCGTTATTTTCAGTAGCAGTATAAAGACTTTATTACAGATTTCTCTAGCGGATCAGATATGTAGACGTGCTAAAGTAATTTAAAGTCAGCATAATTGCTCAACTACATACCCAATTCCTTTAGTGTAGCAACGCCACGCTTAACACGTTCAGAATAAATGGTATTAGGAAAATTATCCATTTCTTCTAATACTACTTCTTCCACACGTTCCATTCGATGTAAGACTGCAACCGTGTATCCATCTAGCTTATAATAATTCTCTTCTCCGATAAATCGAGCGCATTCAGACAAATCTTTACGAATATGTGATTCTATTAATGAAGCAAAATTGTGCTTTGTTAATCCCAAAATGCTGTAGAACTTCAGACTGTATTTTCTTTAGTCATAATTATATCAGTTTTTTAAGATTATTATTTTTCGACCATTTCAGAGACTTACGCGAAGCAAGTAAAAAATCGTCAACGCTAGTTATTTCGTCAATTGCTCTAATTAGCGCTCTCATATATTTATTCCATAATTCCTTGTATCTATCCATATTGTTTTCAACGGTCATATCTGATGGCACTTGAGAGCAAATTTCCGCCGCATTTACGACCTTCGCAATAACAATATACAAACGAAAAGTGTGAAAATTACTTCTAGGGCAGAATTCACGCACGATCCAGTAAGCTGTACATTATTTATTTATATAGTTTTTAATATTACCTGCAAACGGTACGTCCTGACGTAATTGGATGCTAATTTTACAAGCTTGATACCTTCTGCATTAGTTGAAATAGCACAAGCCAACTCGCCAGCCTAAGCACGATTGTATTTACTTAATAGACTTTATTATAGATAGTTATTCTGCTTGCAGATTAGTGTAGAAGTATTTTACTCATTATATTTAGTTATTTTATGAGGTTTAGTTACCTCATTATACTTTACCTGTAGTATACTTTCTGCGTCATCACTGAAACTTTGGGCATAATTTTCTAGTTCTTCATTACTTTTATTCGTCGCTGCATCAATTAATACTTGAAGTGGAACCGTGGCCGCAATCAGAGCTTCGGAGACATGATCTGCTACAGCTATTCTTAGCTAATAAGTATTAAAGGGTAAAATAAAGAAAGTATTGTAATACTGTAGAGATACTAAAATGTCCTTGCAAAATTGAAAGGATATATGATCCATTAACACTGTTTTATTCCGTTGAATCCTTCAATATCTCGAAGTTGATTACTTACAACGTATTCCAAATGATAAACAGTTTCGACAAGATCGGCAGAAATTTGTCTGATATTTTCCTTGGTTATCTTTTTATCCGTTATGTTAATGGTATAACCCATCTGCATTGTATCAATTTTCAGTTTATTAAGTACAAAAGAGAAGCACTCACTAAACCGTTGAAATGCAATAACACTAACTTATTTAAATAAATCATTCGAAGTATTTTCCCATTATTTTTAGTAACCGACAAGGAAAGTAAAGACGATAACAATATAATATTATTACTATTACATACCTCTTTCTGATACTCAGTTATCAAAATTTGAAGCGTCTTATTTAGCGATTTGCAAAGCAACACAATGTGTTCTCGCCGATTATCTCCGGTAAAACTTGAACAAGCAAGTATTGTCGCATTGTTAGTAATCTTTTCAAGTAATTCTTGAAGTTGACTACACAGTCTCTGTTCAGAACAGGAATTTGCCTTTTTTCCAACTAAATAGCTCTGTTGGATAGATATAAAACAAAACATTGATTTATCGCAATACTCCATAAGCAAATAAAATCTGTTGTAGTAAACACTCAGATTCTAATTACTCCCTATATCAAACCTTAAACTTCTTAATTACGCTCGCAGTTTCTCCTATAGGCGATTCTTCGTTGCCAACGGGCGATTGAATAATAGTAACGATCCTATTGACAAACTCTCTAATTTCAGACGTAATAGCTGCGCAATTTGCTTTAGCCGGAGGCAAATTTTCATATTTGAAATGAGTCTATGAAAATAGCAAAATAGTCCATCAATTAATAAGGTACATCAAACAGAACTTTAGTAACGTACAAAATACAGCTGCATCGAAAATACTTTTTTATACTAGCTTCACGAAATGGAAAAATTTAATCTTACTTAACGATTGCCATAATCATTGCCTATAATCATTTTAAAAATAAATGAATGGAGATGTTATTTTGGCAACCTTCTACTGAATATATATTTTTTTAACACTAGTGTGTGCAAAAATCACATGCAGTCTGTAATTGCTTAGTTATTTTTAAATAATAGAGTGGTAAATATTCTTATTGGTCATTACGCTTACCTTTGATACAACGTTTAGTAATTGGCTAGCAGTCAATAGGTTAGCTCGAGCAGCTGAGAGCTGATCTTTCTTGTCTTCATCCTTTAGATCCTATCATTTTGCGTCAAATATCAGTAAAAATCAAAAAGTTTTCAAATAAACATACTGATAAGGATTATGAAAAAAATACACTCTATTAAATCATATTTACTGTATCAAGAACACTTCAGACATAGACAGAATAAGAATAAAGATTAATTATAATATTTCTTTAGCTTACAAATTGACGGCGTTTAACAGCATCATCGACTTGGTCCAAGTGGTAAGCAAAGTTGTCCAGATTCTGATCCAACGAATTTTCGTCTCGGCTATCGAGAACTAGCTGCAAGTGATCTTCCAGCTAGATAATGCATTCATTTGAAATAAGAATAACATCTGCTATGATCAGTCTGACAACAGAAAAAGTTTAAAATAACGCAATGTCATTAACAACGAATATTTATGACTATCGTTAACGAAATCACACGGCAGAAGTTATACTGTACTTAAAAGGATAATATAATGCTGGGGTCATATAAACGGTTAATGAGCAATATCGCTAGGATAGCTATAGCGATAAAATATTAGCGATATTAGTTATAGTAGACGATAGAGATGATTAATTAGGAGTAATTTTATTTAAGATATACGAGTACAATGTAATAGCATGTCATGACTCAAAATAAGAAACTACGTCGTACCCCAGTTATAAGCACTAATATAATTCGGTGTGGTACTGAAAGCGGTTTAACTTGTATTCAGTGGTAATAACAGCACAAAATATTATTAAGTCTAATGAGTTCCATCTAACCTCGTGGAGCATTTTCACCAAATTACTGATATCAACCATGTCAGCAATTGAGAGTAATTTATTCAAGATTGGGTACAGATTGAAAACGGCCTTTAATAAAGCACTCCTTTTAATTTGTGAGCTTGGCTCATGAACAAAACTTTCCGTTGCAGCTAGTAAACAAGATCCAGCATCATGAAGCTCTTCATAGGCTTGATATACCCTATCGGCGATTTTAGGATTGTCGTTTGCCACAATTTGCCCATGTTCGATTAGCTCATTGATAGCTAAATGAACTAGTTTAATTAGATCATCAGCTTCTTTGGAATGCCCAGTTTGGCGGCTAGCCTTGGCAACATGGCTATTAAGTTCTTTCAACTGTTGAAAAGAGAGTAACACTACCATAAAACATCAATATTTTAAAGGTAATATAAAACTTAAACTATCATGTGTCAAATAGCCGCAAGCAAAGCAATGGAATGCTGTTCATCGCTGGTACAGTAGGTTAATGCAGCGTTACGTCATACGCCTACAAAAGTATAAGCAAATCTATGCTACCATAAGGTGTAATACTAAATCATTGTTCTGGTGAAAAAATTTGCTATTAATGTCGAATAGGCAAGGTATTGGGACATTAAATTAGCCAATTCCAACTAGCATCGTTCTACTGTACGCGTTTTTAAAATTACTGCAGTCAAATACAGTCATAACAGTTATCCCAAATATTGTCATCAAAGCTCCTTTCTCTAGATTAATACTAGACATAGGCGTAATTCTACAGTTGTACGGATCGACTTTTGAAGGGAGGATTATCATTATTTAAGGTCGAATTTTATATGTTGACAAATCAAATTGCACAGTACAGATTTAATGGAAGAGCACGATGATGGGTAAAGTAAGGCATAATATTGCCATAAATAATTTTATGACTTTGTTACTAATCTAACAAGAATGTACCGTATAAATAATCATCCATTCCTTATCAATGGTACTGACACAAAAATAATAAATAAAAATAAATAATAAGAAAACTACCGTAGCCATTAAAACAAGATGTATTACAAGCTAGACCAAAAGTTTTTTTTCAACGTGATATCCTTCAAAATTACAGTCGTGCATTTACTCCTTATTACTCTACTAGTTGCACTATTTCTCCCTTAGTCATGAAATATTGCAAGAGTGGACTTTTAAAAATATTCTAATTAATTTACAGTTATTATCAATTAGATCAACTCTGATCCCAGCTTCTGTATCGTTTCTGTACTATTCATTGTACATTGTTTAGAGAGTTATATAAGCATTTCGTCTATCGTACTGTACAGTAAATGGTCCCAAAGCGTGATTACATCCATGATCTATCAAAGCTAATTAATTAAATATAGAGAAGGAGTTTTGGGCATAACAGAAATTAGCGTACTATCGATAAATATCGAAACTACCTTTGTCCGAGAGGGATTAACGAGTTTATGATTGAATTGCATTGAAAGTACTAATTAATTATCAACTGAGATGGTAAGTGATAAGAGCAAACTGAATTTCATAGGCACAGATACTCCTGGACAACGCTATAATTACGTTGAAATTAGAATATCCAAAATGGAAGTGAGTTGATTAATACCAACCAGCGGCATGACAATATAAAGTAGTACAAGTATACCGTGTAGTATCGTCGTCGTGCATCCAGCTGATTATGTTAACATTAATTCTTATTTTCTTCATTTGTGAAATGCGATTAAGCAAAATAGTAGAAAGCGATATTATTATCATAACAGACAAAGCATATTTGATATTGTACAAGCCATTTTTTCGCCCTAATTTTTGCCTTTAATTAAAGGTTCAGAATAGAGATCAGCTAAGCCACTAGAAGCGGAATCCCGGCAGGGAGCGTTATTTTGATGATTGTGTATTTCAGGAAAGGACGGGGGATCTTATTACCTCATTTACCTGATCAAAGTAAGGGCGTAATGCAGCATCGGCAGAAAATGTTTTAGCTTCGGATGGGTCTATCACTCGAGATTGGTGCATCATATTCTTAAGTAAGGCAGTGAAGAGTAAAAAATTCGACGAATTTGATCGTTAATGTTAATGTCAATTTAACACAGCATCGCGTCGCCAGTCACCAGACGGGGCTCGAGGGTCGAAAAGGTACACTAGTCTAAATTTCCGTCATGCTGTCCATCCTGTACCCCTCTTCGTCCGATATCCATCGTGCTGTACCCTGGGTTTACAGTACTGTACTGTATTCAGAATACTGTACTCTGCAGATTCTGGTCCGGATCGGACCGGACCATAACGACTTATCTTACAGTAGTTACTGTAAGATCTGGACTGATCTCACTACAGTAACTAGACGTGAGAAAGGTTCGGTTCGGTTCAACCGTTATGATCTCTATATACTGTACAAGTACAGTACAGTATACACTACTGTACATTAGGCCCAGCCACAATAACCCCGATTACTCAGATACTCAGCGTAAATAGCTTAAACGATGATACATTATTCTAAGAGTCTGTACCTCAAATTTCATGCGATTATTCAAAGAGTAAGACGTTGCACCAACGCAATGAAAGTTAGGTACTACCGTGGCCCAAAAGGGACAACTTTACAGTGTACAGTAGAATTCTACGGCACAGCAGAGTGCAAATTCTACAGTGTACTGTACTGTACTGTACTGTACTGTACTGTACTGTACTGTCTGTACAGCTGTACTGTACACTGTACACTTCAAGTGTACAGTACTGTACAATACGGTGGCCCAAAAGTACGGTGGCCGAGAAGGGCCACCATGTTACAGTAAAAACATGCTCTACAGCGTGCAAACTTCCTCTTACAAAAGGGAATTCTACTGTACTGTACTGTACAGTACAGTACAGTAAAGTTGTCCCTTTTGGGCCACCGTAGAACCGTACGGTACTGTCAAAAACAACTACAGTACAGTACATACAGTACAGTACAGTACTGTACTGTACAGTACGTACAGACAGACTGTACTGTAGAGGTCAAAAAAGCTCTTTGTACTGTACTGTACAGTACAGTATAACATTTACTATTCACTTTCTATGGTAAAGCTTACAGTACTGTACTGTACTGTACTGGATGTCGCAATGTGGATACTGTACCGTATGGAGCGGCTGTTGAGCTATTGAGCATGACTACGAAGTAGCTCGTCATGGTGGTAAGAAAAAAAAAAGAAAGGAAACAAAAGATCGCTTGTTGATAGAAGTTCAATGTCACTGCATACCAGATTCCTAGGATTCTGTCTGACATCTGTCCCATCAAATGTTTCCAATGTTTCCCTTTTTCTACGGTCAAATGGTCGAATGGGCTAATGCTAATGACCGATCCCAATCCTACCATTTCGCTCTAGAGATAGACACTGTAGGCATTAACGATGTGGTGGCATTACTTTGCTTTTATCAAAGATTGATGTACTGCGTCTACCTAATTTTACTAAATGTATCTCAGTGATTCTGCCATTTCTATGAAAAATATCATAATTACTTATTGTTGACCTTGAATAAGCATGCTTTGCACTAGGCGTTCCGTTTATTATAAAGGCAAGGTGTTATTTTTATTTACGGAGGGCCTGCTGTGCACAAGGGCCAAAATCGGGCCACGGCTGTCAAGTTCGTCAAAATGCCTTTCTCTGATACGTGCAGTATAGTGATCAATATGGGTTGACAAGCTATTAGTCCTTGATCGTACAATGCTGTACACCTAGGGTGCAATCCAGTGCTCACAATCAGATAGTCACAACAGTCGAACACGAAAAAAAACTCATTTAGATACTGTACAAAAAACTATTACGGTGAATTTAAATAGATTCATAAACTTGGAAGCTATAAAATTGTAAACTTGGTTCTGTAATTTACCCCAAGTCGACATTAAAATTAATTAATAATTATTATATGCTGAATCCGGTGATAGGTGATTAGTCTCGTCAAAGGGTATCACCACCTGTCAAGGTCGTTCGTTAATCCAGTTAGTACAAAATAGAAATACAGAAATATAGGAGTGATCAAAGAGGACCGCTGTGCCAAAAAGAAAATTACTGACAGCACAGGAAATCAAAAAAGAATACTAGGCAGAGTGCTATTTCCTCACTTTCAATTCGATTTGAACTACACATACATAATTACCCAATATCCCCTCCCCAGCCCTTTTGGCTATTGAACTGTACAGTATGTACTAAAATATATTTTATTTTATGTCTACGGCACATAACAATATGTGTACCAGTATTGCAGGACTCCGGTATAAATTGATAGCAACAGTAATTGAAATAATATCATGCTGCATACTCGTGCATAGTTCAGATAATAAATAAAATGTTAAATAGTTAAAAGAGAGTCTCTGTATACAATCGTCACAGATAGATGGTCACAGCATCCGGTATAACCCATTTCCAGGAACTAATAAAGCCCAGTCTGCGATCTAAAGCGACATTATGTCTCATTTCAGCCTTTTATTGTTATAAATGCGTTGTCAAGGGGCCGACTTGCAAATTACAGATGGTTTACAAAAGACTTTGCTGTCCTACTACAGTATACAATATTGTACACAACGTCAGTGTACGATATACACTTACTGTATATACAATATATATATATATATATATATATATATATATCCGAATTATTATCAATTATAATAATATTGCGTGATAAATAAAAAAAAAGAAAATGCGTAGTGGTAGTGCTCATGACTCATGATACTGTACTTTGATTGGATATCATTGGATAGCGATATGATGGTTGGTACCAACCTAAATAATCTACTTTGTAGCATCTCACAGCTTATTGCATAATAATTAATTATATTGTTCATTCACAGATTGCTTAAATTTCTTAATCTTTCAATCAACCATACTGATTGCTAACGGATCAGAGCAGTATCCTATTTAAGGTTAACTTCCGTGATCTTAATGAATACGCATATGCAAGGTACCGCACAGGTATTACGCTTAACTGTCAATAAAAAAGTACAGGATGACAGTATGTCTGATGTCTGCGAAGGTATGGTTTAATTTAGCATCATACTTTGCAGCGGTATCGTTATCATCATGTTATTATTACGCCTTTGATAGGCTTAGCAGCTTGCTTCGTCATAACATCAAAACGGTGACTGTATTGACTTATGTGCATGATATACACTACATGAAGGCCTTATCTTGTCACTGAAACACACAAGTTCTTGGTACAGTATATCGCTATATCATTTTATTAATTTTATTAATTATCATTAAATTATTATTCTTATTAATGGCTCGCATATTAACTTGCAGCAGTACTTTACTTATTACTTACTTATCATATAAGCACTATTTTCTACTTTCTAAATCCGCTCAGATGTCTCTATACAGCAAATAGCCTGTTATCTGAGTGTAGTGTAGCATAGTAGCAAC